GGGTGGAAGGAGGCGGGGTTCTGCAGTGGACCCCCTTGTTTCCTAGGATGGCCTGTCTCCTCGTCCCAGCTCTGGCTTTAGCCAAGATGGCCCTGATTCTGAAGGAGGTGGAGCCCATCTATGTTGCCTCCCAAGCTTGCACGTGCTTAACCACCGTTGAAGGGCTGTTGAAACAGTTCCCTGGGCTCCGCTCCCAGGGATTCCGATTCAAGGAGGTCAGCGTTGGCCCCCGTGCACTTGTCCCACCAGCGCCCAGGCAGTGGGTGGCTCCCGCGCTGGTGAGACCGCTGCTCTGGGAGGCCGAGGAGCGGCCAGCCGGCTGCAGGGCTCTGCCGAGCACAAGCAGGCCTTGCTACCCTCAGCCTCTGGGAGGGGGCTGTAGGGACAAAGGTACAGTCCACTGTTCGGCTCTCGCTCTTTCAGCTTTACACGGCACACAACGGAACCACAGTTTTAACTGCCCCCATTTACCACTGCTCGATGCGATTTGGGCCCAGAAACAAGGTGCTCACAGGCCAACTTCCTAGGAGCCAGGGAGCTTGTGTTACTCCTGGACCACACTAAATCGTGCTTGTTTTAAAAACCTGCTTCATTGCACTGTAATTTACATGCCATAAAGCTCACCCATTAGGAGAGGACAGTTTGATGGATTTCTGGTACATTTATATTATGCAGCTGTCACCAGAACCCAGTGTTAGAACATTTCCATCATCCCAGAAAGTTCCCTCAGAATCTGGTGCTGTTGGTTGTTTATGAAGTATGTGAACTACACACTCAAGTACCTTTAATGAATGGCAGTACTTTTTAAAACTTCATATATGTTTTCATTGTTTGAGTGCCAGTAAGTAGGCCACAGGCCCCGTTTCATGGGTCACCCGTTAGTCTTCATAGAGAAGCCCGTATGCCACTTGCCCAAAGGGGAACGGTTCATCCAGCGAGGATTTCTGCATCCACCGTGCCGAGCATTGCTCTGCCATCTCTTAACGCGTCGTAAGTGTGTTTTTCACGGATTGAAATAGTTATTCAATAGTGTATCTTAACCCAACACCCATCGTGCGTGAGGCATTGCGCTGAAGGATATAAAGGTGGACAGTCTCTGCCTTCGAGGGGCTCATGACTCTGGGAGCTGGGGCGGCAATGCGCACGGACAAATGTGGCCTGATTCCATACACAAGTCCCTGGTTCGAATGGCAGCACAGGTGCACAGCATTAAATCGTTATCATTTTCGGAACATGCACTGAGCGGCTCTCTTGCCGCAGAACTGTTTTCACCGCCGTGCACACCTGATGCCCTACGAGGGCCTTCTCAGGAACCAAAGCTTCTCTGCCGAAAACACGGTGGCCAGAGCATCCCAGCAGAAGGACCCGGTGTGAGCCGTGATGGACCCCGCGGTGGCGAGTCCCGGTCAGAGTCAATGATGGACCCGGAATGCAGTAGGGGTTGCGAAGCAGACTAAACAAATGATTTCTTGTCTCTGAGAAGATAGGACTTTCACATATAAACTTAAAGCACATGTCCCAAGAAGCTTCACCTGGTGAAGTTCCAGGACGGCTGCACACCTCTTAGTCCTGACCGGCAGGCAGAGCACAAGGGACATTGTGGGATGTCGGGCTGTACAGGCTAAACGCCGTTGCAAGGGACCGCCACCAAAGGGACGGGGCTTTCTTTCCTCGTATATAGGGACTGGGCTGCCATGCATTTATCTGCGTTAACCAGGTTTCCCAAATTAGCTGTGTGGAAAACAAATGAATTGGATCATACTGGGCGTAGAGAAGACTGTGGTTTGCTAGTCTCAGGACTACATTTAATGGTGTTCACCTTTTTTTACATGTTTTCTGTTCGTGACAGACAAACATTTGATTTCCTTGGAAGGCTGCTGATAATCTTTGGTGCGACCGTGAAATGATGTTACTTGAGAAGAAAAATGGGCTTAAAGCTACAGGCAAAAATGTTTTTAACCTCAGCAATTTCTCATTTGTGTTTCAAAATCCAGCCCTTCCCCTAGTTTTCCATCCTTTTGACCTGGGCATGGCCATCTCTGTCTGATCTCCCCAGAGAAGGTCGGTCTCGTCACACCGCCCTCTTCCCCGTCCTGGGAGGCCACCGTGGTGGAGAGCCACGGCTGTGCCGGCCACAGGAGTGAGATGGGGCTGCTCTTCCCTCCATCTAACGACCTCTGGTTTTGAACATTAGGCTGGTCAGAGAGAAATGTTTGTCCTCTTACACCACGGCCTGCACCAAAGGCACACCGTCCAAATGACCACAGCCCCGTAGTGAAAGGTAATACAGTATTTTATGCTGCTGAAATGACCGCCACCTTCCTTCCCCCTGACCTAACACAATTTTCCATCTTTACCGATTTCCCTGGTAGCATCTGCTACTAGGGTGGAGCATTTCACATGATCCTAGATAGTACATTCTGACTTTTTCTCCTGGCTTTTACTGTCCTAATTCGATAAAGTAAATTCCCTTTATCGAATCTACTGAGAAGGAATCAAATGTCTGCTTCCCTGTGACTGGTTGCTCCCCAAGGTTGGGTAGAAACAGCAAGATAGGAAAGGCCACGGAGCTGTGCTACCTTTAGCTGAAGTGCTTCTCAGACAGAGTCAGACAGGGTTCCTAGTTGTCCAGAGAGGGCCTTTCAAGCTCTTGAGATCTGTTCTCTTTTGAAAGAAGCCCCAGAGCACATCCACTCAACTGGGGATCTCTTGCCTGTGATTGCAGCTGCCCCTCTTCCGTGGGTCATCCCCCTCTCTCTGGGCTGACCACACAGAGTTAAAGGAAGTGGCTGGGATCACGAGAAACCTTTCCCACGATGTGCCTTTACGTGTTGTGCAGAGTTGTGCCTGGTTTTCCCCCCAGCAGAGGAGGCCTGGGGAACGTGGGGGCTCCCCTGCAGGGCAACACCCACTCTCCAAGGGCCTTCTGAGGCCTTTTCAGGGGTTAGGAGGAAGGGGAAGTGAGTGTGTAGTGTGTTTGCACTGGAGCTGTCTTTAAGATGTGTTGATATTCTCTATCAAGCATAGACTAATCCTCCTAAATCAGTCTTGCTGCATATGTACAGTTTCTTCATGTGACCTCCTATGTGGCTAAAGAAAGTTACTCCTTTTTTTTTTCCTTTGGTTATTCCCCACCCCCAACCAAACTATACTGAGATGCCTCAAGTCTTGCTTTACCATAATCAAAATAACTCGGCTTATCAGACCAAGTGCCTTGGGGGCTAAACTGTACATGGAATTCAATTAATGTTACACAGTAATTACTTGCATATTACTAACTAGCCTTGCTTACAGTGGTTCTAGCTCTATAGTAGATGCATTGATTATCTCATTGAAGAGTAATATACCTTGAAGGGATCAGTGAAAGAGCATTCATGAGTGACCCATGGACAGGGACAATGGTGGGGGGGATTGACTGTGGGAGTGGGGGGTGGGCCGGGTGGAGGGAGCAAAGGGGGAAAAACTGGGACAACCCTAAAGCATGAACAATAAAATATTTAAGTTTAAAAAGTTAGATGTTGCCATCACAGGGTGGCTCAGTTGGTTGGAACATCGTCCCATGCACTAAAACTTTGCAGGTTCAAATCCCAGTCAGGGCACATACCTAGGTTGTGGGTTTGATCCCCTGTCAGAGCACATAGGAGCCAGAGAGGCAACCAGTGGATGCGTCTCTTTCTTCTCTAAAATCAGTATGCAAATCCTCAAGTGAGGATTAAAAAAATAAAAGTAATATGCCTACCAGAGATTTGAAAGAAAAAAAAAGACAGGGACTCAGAAGTGTAACATGATCGGTGTACTGCCAACAGTGAGGCGCCATTTCAGTGAAAAGATGGAGAAGGTCCTGCTTTGGCGGCACGGTCCCGTCCATCCTCCGCCATCACCGTAGCAGAACCACGTCAACAACTGTCTCACCCATGTTTTCTGAGACTCCGTGTAGCCAGATGGCAAGCACATTCCTAGCTGCTCTTAGCTAGAAGGATAACCTGTCAAAGAGACATTTTCTTGGTGCTTTTGATACTCCCGCCTGTTGGAGAAGGGAAAAAAGCCTGGGTCACCCAAGCCAATGAACTTAGATTCTCATGTGGAACGGTTTAGATAAAGAAGAGCCCCCGACTTATTTAGAAATCGCTTGCATCAGGCACTCTTTTGAAAATGCTCTCCTCCTCTGGGCAACAATTTGGCTCTGTAATTGGGGTGTTCAGGATGCAACACCGGCAGTCCGGTGCAAGCAGCTGAAGGAGTGTGAGGACGATTTGGAGCCAGTGGGAGAAGGGGAGGCGTGTCGAGGGCTCCTTCCGCTGCCTGATGGGAGAGGGCTGAGGAAGGCAGGAGGCAGTGACCCTGAGCTCCCAGGGCTGGGCTCCAGCCCCCTTCTGGGCCTGTACCTTTGAAGCCCTAAAGAGTGTCTTCTCGTGGCCCAGCAGACTGGGAAAGGTTGCCTCAGTGGACACTGGAAGGCCCATTGCTTCCTCAGCCATGCAGTCAGATCTCTGAAATAACTGTGGTTCCTCCTGCTTGTGGTGGAGTGGCAGGGTGTGAGGTCTGGGGCAACTCCGTGGGCTATGGACACCCCAGGGGTGGGGGGGAAGGTGGGGTTTGACACAAGAGCTCCGTCTTTCCTGAATTTTACAGCGTGGTTGAGAAATGTTATTCGGCCAGCAAGCAGAGGGACCTGGAATTCCCTAACTGGTTTTACTGATCTTGGAGAGGGGCAGGTAGTGTAGAAAGAAAAACATCACTGTGTTGTTCCATTCATGTACGCATTCATTTGTTGCTTCTCGTATGTGCCCTGACCGGGGATCGATCCTGGAACTCCAGTGCATCAGGACAACACCCTGAGCTATGTGGCCAGGGCCGACTGGTTTTAGAGTTGAAGCGCAGTGGCCTTTGTCTGATCTGAGCATCCGCCCTTCTCAGGATGAGCCTGGGCCCCCCCAGGCAGCACAGTGGAGGTGGGCGCCTGGAGGCGGCTGAGCTGATGCTTCCTCTTCTCTCCCCAGAGCCCGCCAAGGCTGCCTCGGACCTGACTGCCTGGTTCAGCCTCTTCGCTGACCTCGACCCGCTATCAAATCCCGACGCGGTGGGAAAAACCGATAAAGAACACGAGTTGCTCAATGCCTGAGTCTGCGGGCTCCCTCCCAGAGCCCACACGCTGCTCCTCCGAGACACACCTGGGGGCTGATGGAAGGGTGATGCAATCAGTATGCTGTTTTACTATTTACGTGCCATTTTAATAAAACGAACGGGTCAGAGGCCCTGTTTATATTGGTATAATTATTTACTCTTATTTGGTATAAAGGGATTTAGTGTATTCTCTCTGTGGATCTAACAATACAGGATTGTTGAGGGGTGGTTTCCAGGCTGGCCGTTCTGCCAAAATCCACCTCGTGGCTGCTGATGTGTCACTGGGCTACTGTGGGATCCAAGTTCAAATCGTTAACCTACTTTGTGTTAGGTTTAAACAATGTGCCTGCAGCCTCACGGGCAGCGGAGGCCGGCGAAGCTGCAATGCCTCCTCTTGTACCCTCTGCCTCTGTCCCCAGTGGAAGGAGGCTGCAGGGAGGACCCCTCAGCCCGCCAACCACCTTCCAGCAAGCTCTGGACAAAGCCCCGGCCAACCAGAGACACTGTGCTCAGCCCTTTCCCAGTGGCCATGGGCGCAGGAGCTGAGCTGGTCTCCACTTGCATGAACCTGTCTATGAAAAGCGGATCCCAGTGTCAAAAGCATGTATTTCTGGAGTCCCTTGTGACAGTAACTGTTTTTTTTTTTTTAATTAAAAGGAAAAGATATTCGACATGCAAAGTCAAGTTAATAAATGTGTTGTGGGGACACAGTGGGGAGGCGCTGTGGGGGCAGTAGGGACTGGAGAGGGACCAAGGAGGACAGGTCACACATGCTTGGAGCCGCGGACGGGACCCCAGGCATCCCCCAGGCACGGCAGCCGGGAAGGAGGACCTGGACTTTGGTTGGCTCTGGCACGGGTGGGAGGAACAGTTCTGCAGGTGGGAACCCCAGTGGCTTAGACAGCCCGCAGTGGCGGAAACCCCAGACAGAGCTGGTGCCTCTCCTCCGGGCCCCTGTCCCCAGCGGCGTACTAGATGAGAGCACATCCGCAGAAACCTGTACACAGCCCTTTCGATGAGCCTGCTGCCCTGAGTGACGGTAGAACTGATGCTTAGCCAGGAAATGGCCCCACACGCTCCGCTAGGCCAGGGAGGCCTCTCCTGCTCTCCTGCGGCCCCAGTTCCCAGCTCTGAAAGGGTCTCCCCCAAACCCACGGGAACGCTGGGCTCCCCTGGCTGCCAGTGGTGTGCCCCATGGAAGGGCCCAGCCCCAGGAGTGGCCACTGTCCTGTACAAGAAGCCTGGGGACAGGAGACAGAGACGGCGGAAGGCGGTCTCCTTTTCCACAGGGGAAGAAGCCAGTCGGTGAAACTGGGCCGGGGCTCGGTGTGAAGTGGCGGGTGTGGCTCTGCCCCTTCCTGGCCTGCAGAGGCCGTCCCAGGAGTCTCATCCGTTTAGCAGTTCCTCAGCCAGGTGTTCTCAACCTTCCCTCACAGGCGCGGAGAGCTCGCTGTACCCTGAACCTCTCTCTCGTCTTCGGGCCTGTGCATTTGCTGCCGACTCCACCCAGGACACCCTCGGCCACCCTCACGGCCCTTCCCACCCCCAGGCTCCTACTCCTCAGGTCTCACCTCCTCCACAGGGACTTCTCCAGGTGTAATCCGTGGTCTTCCTTGGAGGAACCGCCCCTCAGCTCTCCCCGGCAACTCCCCTCCTGCCCTTCTCCAGGCTCCTGATTAGCGCAAGCCTGGCACGCTGTCTGGCCGCCCAAGGCCCTGCAGTACGCCTCTTCCTTTACTCCCTCGTGTTGCAACCGCAAAGGACGGGGTCCCTGTTTGCCCCAGTCTCCTCCGTCTCTCGGTTCTCTGCACTCCGGAGTCACCTGGTACGCACGGGATTAACGACTGCTGCCCCGTGTGGAATGCAGATTAAGGACTCCTAGTTCCACCCAGGGTCACAATTGTTTGCAGCCGCAGTATAATATGGATCCGGAGGGGCTGACTCCCGGCTGAAGGCCCAGGGAGCTCGGTGGGGGGAGGGAGGGGCAAGGGCACGTGGTGTTTTCCCAGGTTGGATGGATCCCTTTAACTCCTAACAGGCTGCTTGTTAAAACGGACCTGTGAGTAAGGGGAGCAGAGAATGGTGGTCGCTGGAGAGCCTTCGCAACACTAGAAGGAAAGGATCGCTCATGGAAGGCATTTTCTCCTTGAATTTTCTTTACATTTTTGTTAAATAAAAAAAAAAGTTCAATTCCCTTTCCCATCTGCAGTCCACTTGGCCAGGCCCTTGATCCCTCATGATGGGCGTGTTTTGATCCAGGCTCGCACAAAGCCCTTCGGCCACCTCTCCTGTTTAAGGAGAAGCAGCTGCGGCCTGATTCTCTTCAAAGCAGGCTGTGTGCCAGCTGGGCCGGGGGGCTTCTCCAGGGGGCCCACCTCAGGGCGCCTCCTCAGCAGAGAAGAGCACCCATCTCTGGCACAAAGAAGAAAAAGGTGCCCCACCCTCATCACGCCCAGTCTCAGGGCTCCTTCATGTTCATTCCCCATCCTGAGGCCCCTCTGACCCCCACTTGCAGTGGTGCCCTCAGGCAAGTTCAGAGAGCACCTGCCCCCTGGAGCCTTCACTGCCGTTGTAGGTGGTCTGCAAGCCCCCCACCCCCACCCGGTCGCTCCTCCTCCCTCTGCCCCACCGATAGATGAAGTATCTTACAATTCAAGGGATGGTGCCAGAAATATTTCTATCTCCTCCTTTCTTACTGTTTTTCCCCAGCTGGCATGGGCTTCGGTGCACATTATAGATTCATTGCCTTCAAAATGTAATTTTAGAAATGTCAAGTTGATTTTGAGTTCTGGGAGAGTGAGAAAAACATCCGTCAGCCTTCAGAATTAGAAATGCACCAATGTAGAAAGAACCAGCACTTTTTGACAGAGGTTTATGCCCAAGAAAATGTGATCTGCTCAGAGTTGGCAGCCCCGGGAACCCTGAGTTGCCAGGGGGGGATGTAGGTGGGGCTCACCCATCAATCCAGTCTTGCCGCTGGGTGTGGGGGCCAGGCCTGAGCCCCCCCGAGGTGCCATGGGAGGCTGCCTGGCCATCTGGGTCAGTGGTAGCAGAGCTCTCCGGCCTTCTGCTCATCCTTCAGTTCCAAGAGCCACTAATTGAACTCCTTGCTTTTCTTTCTCAGAGACCAGTGCAGAAAACTCTCCCCAGGGGCCAACCCTGGCAATGGCTCAGGGCTAACTATTAGCACTACTGATTTTGCCAGGATATCAAAGTCGCATCTGTCTTTGTGGTCAACTAGTGCCCTCCAGACAGCCGTGGCAATTCATCCTCCGCTTTGATATAAACCGGCTCCCCAGCCCAGCGACCGGCACCACTCACAGAGCAGTCCTGTAGGTCTCTTCAGCTTGGTGCCAAGCTGAGATGATTGGCCGTGGCTGCCAAGAATTCTGCACTGAGAAGGATTCTGAAAAATGACTGATGTTTGTAATGGGTGTGGGGCAGGGAGTGGTAGAAGTAACATTATATATTTCCTAATGCTGCATTAGACCTTGTCCTTCATGTCCCTCTTCTTCTTCCCCCTCCTTCCCTCCTCCTGCACCCCTTCCCCACTCCCTCCCTCCTCCCCTCCCCTTTTCCTCCTCTTCCTCCTCCTTCTTTTTTCTTCTTCTTCTCATCCTCCTCTTTCTCCTCTTACTCTTCCTCCTCCTCCTTCTTCATCAAATGTAATTAGGATCCTGGAACCCTGAACAAGGGGCAAGTACAGATAAGAAAAGCAGAAAGTTCAAAGAACATGTCATTACTGAAATCTAATAAAACTCAACCTCATTTGAACACCACCAACAAAAAAGGGGGTGTATTTATTTGCCCAGGTAACTAAAACGTATGCTTCAGGAACAGCTAGATCTAGGGGCTTGGGTAATATTCTCACCAGTTGTCCCCTCTTCCGGTCCCAGCACAGAATCCCTCTGTGATGGTTTCACTCCAAGAGGCTTCTCGTAAAAAGCAGAAAGGATCTGCATCTCCAGGCAAAGTTTTGGAATTGAGCCTACACTGGGTCCTGGGTCCAATCTTCAGTCAGCTACCGGGAGGGAACTGGGTGGGGGATCAGGCTTCTCATGTGCTTATGCCTGAAGCCTGTTCCTCAAGGACTGAGAACGGAGAAATGATAGTTACTCCAGGGAAAACTGGGGTGCTGTTACTAGAAAAAGAGGGAGTGGATCCTGGGCAGGAAAAGGTGATAGAGGAACATCGGTCAGTCGTTTCTCCTATGCCCCCTGACCGGGGATTGGACTGAAACCTAGGTGTATGCCCTGCCTGGGAATAGTACCTGCAACATTTTGGTATACAGGCTGACTCCCCAACCAATTGAATCACCTGGCCAGGGCCTCCTCTCTTTATTTTTAGGCCCAATGTACTCTTCGGGAATAGAATTTAGGGCAGTGGTTAAGAGTTTGGGTTCTGCAGCTGGACAAATCCGTGGTCAAGCCAAGGCTCCACCAGCCATAAGCCATAGGCCCTCTCTGAGCTTTAATGTTCTCATCCATCCACTGCAGACAGCAGCAAGCCCAACTCACGGAGTCGCTACGGGGACGGACTTAACACCGTGCTCGCAAGCTGCAGCATGAGGGGGTGAGCTGGCCTCGCGGACAGCCGCTCACTTGGTAAGTGCTGCGGAAGGAAGAGTGTGAGGCTTCTCCTTCCTCACACCCTCCCAGAAGCCTGTCCGAGCCCCATCTTTTCTCCCCATGGTTTGTTAACTCTTTCCTAATCATCATGGGAATGGAGGAACATAGGATGAATGCGTTGCTCCTGATTTTTCCATAAAGTTGGGCAGAATATTGTGCTGAACCTAGAAGTGAAGTGGGGTCTCTGCCACACAAAGGGGACATACTCCAGACTTGCTATGCTGAAAGACATTTTTTAAATGAACCACTAGCCAGAACACGGGTCAAAAAAAGCTGGGCTACAGAGCACCTGGAACTCAGACATTGTTGTTGGGAAAGCACAGTGGAAAAGTCATTCTCAAGAGCGGTTTGGCAGTTTCACAGAAAGTTAAACACACACTTACCGTACGACCCAGCAATCCCACACCTAGGAACTCGCTCTGGAGGGGAAAAAATTTACATCCACACTAAAGCTTGGACGTGGATATTTAGAGCAGCTTCATTCATAATCTCCCCAAACTGGAAACAACCTAAACATCCTTC